CACCCATCCGCCTCTCTCCCTGTCTCTCCCTGCTCTCTCTCACACCCATCCGCCTCTCTCCCTGTCTCTCCCTGCTCTCTCTCACACCCATCCGCCTCTCTCCCTGTCTCTCCCTGCTCTCTCTCACACCCATCCGCCTCTCTCCCTGTCTCTCCCTGCTCTCTCTCACACCCATCCGCCTCTCTCCCTGTCTCTCCCTGCTCTCTCTCACACCCATCTGTCGGTCTCTCTACCCCTCTCTGGCCTGCTTCCCTCTCTTTCCTCCGTCTCTGCACCCCCCCATCTGTCACTCTCACCTCCACCCACCCCCCACCCACCCCTCTGCCCGCTCGCCCCGACCACCCCACAGGAAGGCAAGCTGTACTGGTGTGATGCACGAACCGATAAGATTGAGCGCATTGACCTGGAAACCGGGGAGAACCGGGAACTGGTCCTGTCCAGCAACAACATGGATATGTTTTCAGTCTCTGTCTTCGAGGACTACATCTACTGGAGCGACAGGTGGGTCTCTGCCTTTGGTACTCTCTCCCTATCTCCGTCACTCCCTCCATTCCCCTACACCCCCTCCCTATCTCTGTCACTCCCTCCATTCCCCTACACCCCCTCCCTATCTCCGTCACCTCCTCCTTATCTCCATCACTCCCTCCATCTCCCTACAACACCTCCCTATCTCTGTCACTCCCTCCATCCCCCTACAACACCTCCCTATCTCCGTCACACCCTCCATCTCCCTACAACACCTCCCTATCTCTGTCACTCCCTCCAACCCCCTACACCCCCTCCCTATCTCCGTCACCCCCTCCAGCCCCCTCTGTCGAGTGTGTCAGTACAATACAGTATGTTGACAGCGATGGTGGGTGCCCAGTTGAAGTCGGTGAATGTGGTTATTTTGTTGGAACAGGACCCACGCTAATGGCTCCATCAAACGTGGTTCGAAAGACAACGCGACAGACTCTGTGGCCTTGAGAACGGGAATTGGTGTCCAGCTCAAAGACATTAAAGTCTTCAACAGGGAACGGCAAAAGGGTGAGGATTTATTTTGTTGTTCGTACCCAACGTGTTCAGGGACTTCAACTGCGCCCGCTCCCTCGGCACTGACCCTGCGACAGCGCCCCGCTCCCTCACCCTCCCTCAGCGCCCCGCTCCCTCGCCCTCCCTCAGCGCCCCGCTCCCTCGCCCTCCCTCAGCGCCGGACTCCCTCACCGTCCCACAGCGCCCCGCTCCCTCGCCCTCCCTCAGCGCCGGGCTCCTTCCCCCTCCCACAGCGCCCCTGCTCCCTCGGCTCCAGCCCCACCGTGACGTCCCTCATTGTCCCTTCCCCAGGCACGAATGTCTGCGCCGACAACAATGGAGGGTGCCAGCAGCTGTGCCTGTACCGCGGCAACGGTCAGCGGACGTGCGCCTGTGCCCACGGCATGCTGTCGGACGATGGGGTGACCTGCCGGGACTATGACGGCTACCTGCTGTACTCGGAGCGCACCATCCTGAAGAGCATCCACCTCTCGGACGAGAGGAACCTCAACTCCCCAGTCAAGCCCTTCGAGGACCCCGACTTCATGAAGAATGTCATCGCCCTGGCCTTCGACTACGGCCACGGGGCAAAATCCGGCAACCGCATTTTCTTCAGCGACATCCACTTCGGGAACATCCAGCAGATCAGCGACGACGGCTCAGGCAGGAAGACCATCGTGGAGAGTGAGTGTGTTCATAGCCCCGCAGCGTCCAAGTTAGGGTGGGTTGACCGTGGGAAATTGTCCCGTAGTGCCCGGGGATGTGCAGGTTAGGGCGGGATTGGCCGTGGGAAATTGTCCCACAGTGCCCAGGGATGTGCAGG